CTGCCCGCCCTGCCAGGACCCCCACGGGACCCCGGGACCCCGCGGCAGGGTGGGTGTGCCTGGCAGCCCGCGGGGGCGGGAGGCTGTGGTGTGGAGGAGGGAGGTGTTGCTTCAGGTTCCCGGGAAGATGAAGAGGAGACCCCAGCCCTGTGCGGCCGTGGCAGTGGGGGGCACCTGCCCCCACGGGGGTCCTAGAGCAGGAGCCTGTCCCTGCTATGGGGTGGGGACAGCGGTGGCCCTCTCCCCTCGCCCGTGGCCCCCTCGGAGCCGGGGTCCGGGGTGGGTGACCGCGAGGGCTTGCAGCGCCCGCCCGCCCCGGCCGCCGTGTCCCTGTCGCATCGCTTGTCTGGTCCATCACTCCGGTCGCAACGCTGCATCTGTGTTCGGTTTTATTTAAATAAACTCGTGTGGTAACACCGTGTCCTTCCCGTGCTGGGGGGGCACCAGGGGGTCCTGGACCTGCTCCCTAGCCTGGGGGTCCCTCCGTGCTGCCAGGCCACGCCGGGTGGCGGGTAGCTGGAGCTGCGGGGCTGCTGCGAGTCGGTTCCATTTCGCGTTAATAATTTATTGTTGCGGGTATTTTGGGATATAAAATCCCAGAGACGCCCCAGCCCCCGCTGCTGCCTCGGCATTGGCAGAGATTGTAGGGCGGGGCGTGCGGGAAGGGACGCTGCGTGACTCATAGCGGCGAATGGGGGCTATCGCATCCCTTGCGACAGAGCCCGATGAAGTCGCAGCCAGATAAGGCTGAGGTTAACTCTATATTTCACCAACAATGTCAGGGGAGAGCGCGAACGCAGTCCCCCACTACCACAAATTATGCAGTCGAGTTTCCCGCATTTGGGGAAATCGCAGGGGTCAGCACACCCGGAGTGCAAGGGATGAGCCTCGCCCTGGGAAAACCACCTGCCTGATCATGGTGTCTCCCCTGCCAGGTAAGTATGACTCCAACTCCCGAGCCGCACCGCGCCCGCCCCGCGCACCCACCCCGAGCACACGCTCACCAAGGACCCGGCCCCGCACCCGTGCGGCCCCGCGCTCCCCACCGTCCCGCACGGACCCGCCCCGCGCAGCGCCCGCGGACGCGCGTGGCCGCGGGGTGTGTGAGCGGGACGTGTCCAGGCGTCCCCCGCGAGCGGTGTGTGATTTGCATAGACACGCCCCATCCCCGAGGCCACGCGCGTCCGCGGGCGCTGCGCGGGGCGGGTCCGTGCGGGACG